GGGGCCGGGCGTGGATGCCGAGCACCTCTACCCTGGCTGTCCTGGCTTTCCATAATCCCCTTCCTAGCACTCAGACAAGATGGAGGATTAAGCTCTCTAAATTGAGTGTAAGTTAACAGCAAAGTCAGGGCAAGAAGGTGCAGGTTTGGGAGGGGAAGCCTGTAGTTGGTGTTGGAGGAGCAGGTAGAGACACAAAAGGAATGAATTTAATGCTGCGGTTTGCAAACGTGAACAAGGAAAACGTGCAGGAGGGAGGTCGATTGTGAAACCTTAGCACAGCTCCATGCACGTGCGTGTTACGATGAAATTTACTTACAGCTTTCCTTTCTTTAATGTTAATTTGGATTTACTCAGTGCACAAGATAGGTGCAGTTTACACAATAAGTGACCAGTGAGATTTTTTTCTCTTGTGTTGGTCAGTGTATCAGACCTTGCCGTGGAGTGTTCAAGTCATTTGAAAGCAGAGTTAATCTCTTTTGTACAACTGTTGTTACTAAAATACTCAGTCACTTTCTGAACAATAATGAAATAATTATCGCCCTGAATTGGAAAAAACCCACACCACCCAAACCAAAACACCTTTACTCCCATTTTTTTTGGCAGAATGGAGATGTTGCTATTGAATTTGACAGATGGAATTAAGTGTTCATAGAAGACAGATTTATACGTAACCCTTACATGCCTTTAGAGCCCATTTCCCATTGTGTCTGGCTGAATTAGATTGTAATTGGCACTTTCTCAGACCAGGCACCTAGAAATAAAGACAGCACAAATGAAACGTCTCGGAATTTAAGTGACTGCACTAACTTTATTCAGAATCCCTGGCTGCTATCAAGTTTTCTGCAGGTAATCCTCAAGAGATGAGGCAATGTGAAGAAGTTCTGTGTCTGTTTTTGGGGAGTTCATTAGAAGTGTATTGAACAGCAGACACGAATGGGAAAGTGCTTCTTTGAAGATGAAGTAGTGACTGGTAGTAATTGTGGATTAATCAGAGGCAGGAGCTGATATTTCGGGAATGAAAGATAAAACGTCCAGTAAGATAGGGAGGGTGTGGCTGGTTTTGAGCTTTGGAAATGACATAAGATAGTCTTCACTCAGAACTAACCTGAGAAAGTAGGGGAAAAGGTAGGGAAATGCAGGGGGAAAAGGGCCTGTTTGGATTCATATATATTGAATAAGGTTCTGTTGGGAAGTGTACTGCTAACATTTCTTAGCTCTGAGGATTTTGTAATCCTAAGGGGTGATAGGAAAATTTTCTTCAAAAATGCAAAGCAAATTGGCAACTTTTCATATGTATTTCATTAACACTGTGCAGGTGAACTGTGAAATGGACCTTTTTATAGGCAGAACAGCTAGCACTAATAGTCCGTTTTAAGCAGTTAAGATAATGTTTCAGTTTTTGAGTCGTTAATTTTATTACAGATTTTAGAACAATAATGATTTTTTTTTTATTTTTAAAACAATGACAATTTTTTTTCTTAGTTTTGCAAGAATCTGCTAATGTGTACCTGTGCACAAACTTGACTCTTGTAAGACACAGGAATTTTGTATAGAGCCATTTAATAGTAAGAATAACTCTTTGAAATCCTTGGTTCTCTTAACCTAACTAAAACAAATTTCAAGCAGTTTCCTTTCTGTTCGATGCCATTGTTCAAAGTTGTCCTTATATTGTTTAATCTATGTGTTAGTAGTCTAAATACATGACAGATGGCTTGGACGCTTTTTGGAAAGTTACATCTGTGTCTGGTGGCACAGTGAGGCCCGGGGCAGAAGCCCTGGCTGAGCCATCTCAGCAAAAGGGAAATGGGGGAATTTTACACTGAACACATCAGAGTATGTGGAAATACATTGGAAGAGGTGCTTTAAATTTTTCTCTGTGCTGTAAAAATGAAATGATCTTTTAATTACTTGATTTCAGTTTTGGGAAAAAAAACCCCACCATTCTGTCTTTAGTGGCTGTACATGAAAAGCTGTATCTTCTGATATAGCAGGAATCAATGTTTTTATAGTGAGTAAAGAAACCTTGCAAGTTTGGAGGATTTGCTCAAATCAGTTATTTCTCAGAAATATCTGCAATAATACCTGTCTGGGTTCTCGGAAACTTTCTTACTCTTCTAAATATCCTTTTCCCCATTTTACCTCGTGATAGCACATCCAGGTGGAATTTGCCTTTGAGAAGAAAACTGCTTTCCAAATAAAGTAGTAATTGCTTGATGCAGAGATTTTCACAGCTAGTTACTTTTCTTAGTAAATCAGAATTTTAAGTCAAATCCCTCTGCAGGTGTCCAATTTTTCTCTTCGTTCACTTCAATGTAAATCAAAATCTGTGTTATTTTGAGAAGAAAAAAGAGCCTGATTACTATAATATTAAAGATTTTTAAAAGGATACATCATACATCTGTTGATTATGGCAGCAGTGTTTTCGTCAGGGTTGTGATTCCTTCTCTAAGCACCTATTTACAGGCACATGCATGTTTTTGATACAGATCTGTCTGGTGTCCGGGAAAAGCCAGACAGAGGCGTGTGGGACTGCTGTTTCTTAATTGCTTGGATAACTGACAGCGAGTCTGGTTCCAAAACTTGCTGTGTTTATAATTCTCAATACAAAAGGCACAAAAAGTAGATGTGATGGTGCCAGATAGCATCTGTTTTACATAGCTTTTGGTTTTCAGTTTCTGCTGTGATATATCCTAATATTAAAAGGTACAGTATAGGCAGGAGGCAGGTAAGCTGGCCTTCGTTCTGGCTGTGCTCTGGGTCAGGCAGGGGGATGGTCCTTCCCTTGGCAGAACAAACCTCTGGACCACCAGGTGGGACAGAAAGAAAGAAAATGGGATGTGCTACAAGTGGAGAGGCTTAAGTGTGAGCTGACATTAGTAGGCTCTGGGAATGAGCGCAAAGATATTATCAGGGCTGGGAGGTGGTGGAAAGAAGGCTTTTCACAAGGATTTAGCTTGAGTCTTGCACAGCAGGCTGTATCCCAGGAGGGCACCAAAATTCGCTTTGTCAAGAGCAAGTCCAAGGGACTGCTGCAAAGACTGGTGGGGAGGGAGGGCCAAAGGGAGTTTTGTTTACAGACTTACTTTAAACTAGTTAAGGGGAAAACTTGTCGGCTGAAAGATGGTAAAGTGTAGGACCCAAGTGGTACTAGATGAATGATGCTTACATTGTACCTATATAGTTGTCTGCTAAAATGACACAGCATAAAGCAAGAGATTTGTTTGTAGCAAAGGCATATCTACTAATAGGTAGGATGTTATTTCAGTCTCTTTTTACGTGTGTTTATACTTTCCAAGCGTTTGCTTGAAAAGACCACAATGGAAATTTGCCAAAAACATTGTATTAACAACGTCACGTTCGTTTGTGATGACCTTTTATCATAGCTGAGATTCAAATTCGTGTTCATCAGCAACTCTGATTTTAGACTTGCAGATGATAGCTTCAGTGCAATATAAATACTTACATAGTTTCCTGCAATCAGCGCTGTCCCTAACCTCAAAACAAGAAACCCATGGCAACAGTGATAGGCAAGATACTGTATGAAACAAGGTGGATCGCTTCTTTCTAATGTGAAACAACTCCAAATGCTCTGATTTTCCCATATAGACCTTTTTGCATGTAACTTTAGAATTGTTATGGAGACTTGAATATTTATTTTAAAACTTTATGCAGTGGTACATATAGAACTTCAGCTGAAATTAGTAAATATAGAAATGTAAATACTAGCTTGTGTTTATGAATTGTATGGATTACTCTTTGTATTTGGTTTACAAGCAACTTTTAGTATATGGAAAATATTTTATTTTGAGTTCTTGTTTACATTCATAATGCAGCTCTAGGCAGGTTCAAGATGCTGGTTAACCTTTGAAATATGTTGCTTGCCTAGTGCTTCACAGAGACAGATGACGAAGAAGTGCATATTAAAGCCTCTTAAAACATAGGATCATCAATCTTCAAGTAGCTTGGCTTCACGCAGTGTGCTGCTATCCAGGATGCACGAGGCATATCTACAGCCCATGGAAGCTTGATGCATCCAGCCTCCCGCTTTTGCAGATTCTCAATGGAAATGTCAATTGGACATTACCAACTGCCTCTGCCTGCCTTTGATATCTCTTCAATAGTTTAATATGTTGTCTGACTCTGTGTGCTAAACTCGTAACCTGTCACTTACTATTTTATTGACCTGATGGCTCTGGCTCTAGAATCTAAGTCTGTGTTTCTGTTTGGTCACATGGGTAATTAAAAGCGTAAGCTTCTAATGAGTAACACAGATATAACAATAGTTTTAGATGTTTTTACTGGTAGTCCTTGAATTACCTTGATCTAAATTTGGAAGTAGAGCGTTCACAGTTTTGACATTAAAATTATATATTTGGTGAATAATGTATGTACTTTTTGGAAAGTCGAATTAAAAATAAAATCAATTGGTTAGCGTTAGAGCCTCACGTAACTCTCTGATGTCAGCCTTTTCTGGTGTGCTATTAATAAAGGCCCATGATAAAATGTTTAAAAAGGTGTTAGTACTTTGTGGAATTATACAAACTGCGTTTCCTTATACTAGTTCTAATGCTTTGCAAATGAGCCTCAGTGAGCTGCCTTGTGTGTTCAGTCGAGTCCCCAGTAACCTGCGCAGAGAGAGCTGGAAGGAGTTGTCCAAACACTGCTGACCCTCAGCTGATTTCGTGCTTTTACTTGGGTACCTTTTAAAAAAATGCTGGCTGTGATAGGTTCTGTAGCATAGCTTTTACATCTGTACTAAAATTAAGCTATAAAAATGCCTAAACTATAAATATCGTTACAAAAATGCATGAAGTAACAGAAACCAATTTACAACGTTTTCAGACAGCAACAGAAAAGATTTTTACAGTTGCGGAAGCATGCATTTCCACTGCATGTGTGGTTACCCCAGCAATCTGAAAATGATAAAATGGCATTATTAATGCATTAACCTATTAAACCTAAGTTTAAGTGGGTGTTAATTTTTTTTATTTAATATCTAGGATGAAGATCGGACAGAGGAGGACAACAGCAGAGTTGAGCCTGTTGGACATGCAGACACTGGTTTGGAGAACGTTACCAATTTTTCCCTGGAGTAAGTTACTGGCAGAACACATTGTTTTAACAATGAGTCTTGAGACTGAACATAGACTAGCAAAAAACTCAGAATAATGTGAGTGATACTACACTTAAGAAAGTGGGGCAGTCTTTTTTAGGTCATGTGTCGTTTTGGTTTTAAACAATTTGCTTCATGGACCTTTTTAAAACAGATTTAAAACAGTTTAAAAAGCCTGTGTTAAAGATGAGCTTTGGAAACTTGACGTTTATAAGTGCTGATGCTACAGTAGATTTTCTGCCTCAAAGAAGATGCTTATTTGATGGAACTCTGGAAACTTGACAGAAGGAATAGGGTCAGTGCTAGCACAAATAAATCAGCAGGCAAAAATTTCAAAGTGGAAAAACATTCCTGTCACCAGTTCACAGTCTACTGGGAAGATGTGCATAGGGGTCACATAAGTTGTGTGGTCAAAAACCTCATACTTTGTAAATGGATCAAAATTGATGTTGTTTAGGACTGGGAAGCTCCTCCTAGTTTTAAAAAAATCAGTAAAGGATGTTTTATTTCCTCATGAGATGCAGAAAACTTGACCTTTTGCATTTCCTTGCAAAGACGTGTTCCATACCTAACTATGGAATGAATTAGAAAATATCCCTTCTGCCCTTAAATTAAACCTTTTAAATTGATTAAAGTTACATTTTAAATAAAAATATATCTGTTTCTCCTATTACTTCTGAATTAAATTGTGAATTAGGTGCTGAGTTTAACAGTTTAGATGTTAGCTAAGATCATGGTGATATCTACCATACATGCTGAGTTTTACTCAGTTCCGTTTACAAGATGTGTTACATTGTAGATTCCAAATGCTGTTTGCTAAATAGTTTGCAGAACTTCCATCAAATTTAATGCTTCTTGGTGTTGCTTTTAAGTAACTTGTTAACTTTTCATTGTATGCTACTTCATTCTTTTCTGTATTGATATCCTACTTCTTTGTATGCTTATTAGAAGTACTTGGCCCAAACTTCTGAGAAAATCAGGAAGCAAAGTTGAAACTGTCTCTTAGGAAGGAATCATTTCCTTTTGTTTTCGGTTATGCAGAGTTTGACATTTGAATTTGGGATGATTTTTTTTTAAGAAAAACTATAAGAAAAAAGAGTGCCTAGACCTTAAATGTGGAAAAAAGGAATGTTACTGACTCAAACAGTAGAACAAGTTAAACAGTGTAGGCTGGATATGAAAAATAGCTTTTATTATTATTATTATTTAAGCTGTGTTTCCAGTTATCACAGTTCCAGGTGATTTGCGCTGATTTTCACTTGTTCTCTTCCTCAGCCCTCAATTTTATTTCAAGCTAATAGAAAAGTTGGAAGAAAGTTGATCATAGGGAGCCATAGGCATACCAGTAGCAAAAGATGTCTTTTAGAGTATCTTTTGGAGATAAAAGGCATTGCTTGATTCCTGTGAGCTGCTTTGCACACTAGTTAAGGAAAACTTAGCCTTAACGTACAATGAGAATGAAATAAGTTAGCCTGTACAGACACTGGGTCAGGGAACATTACCAAATGCTGTAATGCTGTCAGTCTTAAAACATCAGTCCAGGTCTGAAGAATAAGACAATTTTGGCTGATGGCTCTCAGGTCTTCTGTTGTTGCAATGCTTTTCTTTTCTAAACAGTGGCAACAGGGATAGAGACCTTCAATTTAAAAAACGAGTTAAAAAAAACTGACACAAATTGAGGCATACAACAAATACAAGGGGTACCTTAAAAATATATTAAAAAAGTGTGATGTGGAAGAAGTATAAAACAAACTGTAATGCAGGAGTTTTGTTGACTTCCTAAAGATATGTGGCCTGGTTATTCTCAAGCTTTTGTGATGGGTCACGGTATGATCAAGAGCTTATTGAAGGAAGTAGAAAATATTTTACTGCTATCATAGGGCATTGGTCTTGCTCTCTGCTCCATTTCTAGATTAAATTTGATTTGTATGCTTATGAGAAACAAGCTTCTCAAAGACCTGTGTATATATATGTAGTGCCAGGAAATATGGAAAAAGTGTGTAATACTAGAAAGAGGTATAAGCCACAAATTTAGATTGTGGCTTTTGTTCAGATCTCTCACTTCCAGATTTACTGAGAGGTTTGGCCTTCATATATTATTTTCTCATTTGAGTATTTATAACTCTTTATGGTTTATGGGCTGTATTCCACCTTTCCAGATGTGAGCATGTTTCAAACACGTCAGTAGATTTGGTCCAAATCTATTTCTAGAATTTTTGCATGTCTCTTTCTGAACCCGTGCTTTCCTCTTTCACTTTTTTTCCTCTCTGCAGTGAAAAGAATAATTGAAAACTAGAGGTATAGTTACTTCATCAGGATGACTGGTTGATTTTGAAAGTTATAGTTAAATCTTACTTTGGAAACTTTGCCTAGGAAGGAGGTACAGATACAGCAATCTTCCAATAAAAGAAATGGAATTACAATTAAAAAAAAAAAGTATTTTAATACTAGAAGAATTTGACCAATTAATAATTTAATAATGCTCATTGGATTAAGGGGTAGTTATGTGGAAGCTAGTGTTAAGGCTTAGAGTGGTCTTTCTCTAAGATAAAAAATAAAGTGTGCTCGTGCTATGGTCAGCTTTTAGGCTTCTGAGGAAAAATTATATGTGGTATTTAATGTAATTCTGCTTAATGGTCCAAACAGTAAACTTTAACTTTAGACTAAGGAAGGAATAAAACAATGTGCACGCAATGATGATGATACTATTTTTATGTAGCAAACTAAGTTTAGAAAAAAATTCTTTGACTTTTGTTTGTTTTATTAATTGACCTATTTTTGATGCTTAATCTTCTTTCATGCCATCAGATTAATCTTCAGGTACGTAGCATTCAACAGTGCTTTCATCACCATGACTTGATTTCTGGAATGGTTTTGTTTTTCTGTGTATGTTTGTGTGGGGTTTTTTGGTTCCTTCACAGTACATGTTCATATTCCCTCATTCGTCATTGTCTCACAGTGATATGGTAAAGCTCGTAGAAGTCTCCAATGACGGCGGGCCTTTGGGAATCCATGTAGTGCCTTTCAGTGCCCGAGGCGGAAGGTAACGTATTGTGTAGGATTTTAGTTGAATTGTAACTTGCTGTGTTTTATCTTACTTGTGTTAATTTTTGGATTGTGTGCATTTGCCTTCTGTAGACTATTGTATGTTTTTCAAAGGGCAGTCTCACTGGTTAGGAAGGGAAGAAATGGAAGTTTACTGACTCTATACTTGGAACAGACTTTGTAATGGAAAGGCTCTGCTTAAAAGGAGTTAGCACTGTGGGGTTTTAATAGAGATTCTGTTGTAATCTCATGGGAAATTGAAGTATAAAAATGTTTCCTTTTGCACTCTTAAAAATTAAAATCTGCTGCTTTAATTCAGGTAGATATTTATGCAACATTTCCTTGTTGACTGTTCAGAGCCACAAGTTCCCAAAGAAAAGCAGGGGTCTAAACCAGAGGCGTCCTACGCCTGCTTTAGATAAGAGTGGAAGACAAAATGATCGTCACACTTTCGGTATTTAGTGCTGTCCCATCTGTTGGGGTTAAAATGAAGTAGCAAAAACAGTTGAAACATTCTGGTTTTGGGGAAGGTGAACCTGTTTTATTATATGACAGGCTGAAACTCCTGAAATTTGATTGTTTACCAAAAAAAAAGTGTTAAGAAAGTCCTTTACATTAAAAAATGTAATGTGGGGCTTTATATTAGTAAACAGAATGCATCACCTCTAACGCTTACTTTGCTAAAGTAGAGTTTTAGCATTTAGGGCCATTAACATCGTCTCAGAAAATGAGCTTAACTTTTATATTAATTAGAGGTAGATTGGAAGTGTTTAAGTTGAAAACCAATAGTTCTTCAGGAATATATACAAATTTTATTTTGGTGATGCATATTCTAAGTGTGCGCTGTGCTTTCCCTTTTTAAGGAAATGGGGAACAAGTATGTATTTTAAAAAGTTGTATTTGATTACATGTGAAGGGGTGTTCTCACATGTCTGTTGACCCAGCAGCAATTTCAGTTTAGTAATTAAAAGCAAAACTAACTTGCTATACATGCATATATCTCAAATATTAATATACTCTTTTCAGAAATTATGCATGTACTTTTCCTTCTATACCGAATACCTTCACAGGATTTTAAACACAGTGTAAGTGCTTTATTTGCAGTTGTTATTTTAAACCCAATGCTTTCACAGCCATACTGACATGTGTGATGAGAAAATGTAATTTTTTTAAAATTTGAAGCTACTTTTTCTGAGGACTACAATTATTAAGACTTCTGTAAAGTGGTAAATTCTTCTCTTCATAATCTGAAATTTAGTAAATTCAGTGAGGAGCTGGAAAGGGCATGAGTGAATGGTACTTCAAATGTAAGATCAGAAGTAAATCCCATAAAGTTGGAAATGGTTGAAATGCTCAGTTATCTTGGATTTAGATGGTGTGAAGGCCAAGAAAAAGACTGGTTTAGGAATGTTTGCTGCCTACTAAGTACTTGTTTAATAAAATTGATGTTATAAATGTGTATTTTGACATTTTGAATAAGAATTTCAACTTAAGTAAAATTCACTTCCAGGATGTTAATGCGGTTGTCAAGTCTGAGGCAAAGCTTAAACTGTTTATACATAATGAGAGCATGTAAAATGAAAAAGCTGTAAACACAGAAATGGAATCTCTCACTTCTTTTAAGGATGATAGCTATGTCAAGAGCTATGGAGGACTTTTAAATATTTTTTTGGTCCTGAGTTTGGGATTATATGATGAAGTATTTTTACAGGAAAGCCAATTTTAAATATAGATGTTTAGAACAGGAAAGTCAAATTCTGTTATAAGGGAAGTAATACTGGAACTCCTGTTATTGAAAAATGGATGGTAAGTGGAATTGCTGTCTGAGTTTTTTGACACCCTCCCCCTGCCCCCCGTAATGTCCTGGGGAGGGGAGGTACTTGGGTCTGTGTCTTGGAAGTGTGGAGAGCAGAGTTCGAGAGGACCTCAGATATTTCCAAAACATTTCTCCCATGCTCTCTGCATTTAGTGGAAGAAAAGTAGAGTTCATTGCTTGGTGGCACAGGTGTTGTGCTGCTGCTTTACTGTCAGCTGTGCCCACACCTCTACATGATTTCACTGAGAACAAAGGCATTTTCTCCAGCTGCCTGCAGTGTAGACAGGGAAAGGAATGCACCCAGCTTCAGTTTTGGAGCACTTGGTGGGGAGTTTTGGTTTCTTTCTGGTTTGTTTGGGTTATTTTTTGTTATTTTTTTTCCTCCTGGTCCCCTGGCTCTTCTGAGCAGGTAAGATAAGATATGCTTGGTGGTTCTTCTGCTAGATTCAGAGGGAGAGCAAATGCTTGACAGGGATCCTCTTCTGCCTACTTGCTTCTCGCTCTAGCACATGGTTGCTCTATATTTCTGGTTTGACTGCAAAGCATAATGCTCCGAGCTACAGTGAACTAACTTACTTGATCAGGGGATCTGCTCAGTAGAAACCTAAATATACAAAGCCAAACACAGGACTCAGTAAAGACTTTGAGGGATGTCCGAAAAGAAAAGATCTGATGTATCATATAGCTTAGTTGATTGGCCCACCATTGTTTTGTATTTGCTTGGTGTTCAATTCCACTTATGCTGTGTTTTCATTTTTTTTCTTACAGTTCCTTTCTTTTGCTTTTGAAAATGTTACTCAGTAGGCAATGGTTATGAAATCAATGATTTCAAAAAGTGAAAAAGTGTAAGAATATACTAATGCAATTCTCCCTTTTTTCCCCTATGGAATAAGCAGGGGCCTTCTCCCTCCAAAAAATTCCCCCTCCCCCAAAGCAAACATCCGAAACCTCTGAAAATCATATGCCATAACTATGCCCTTTATTTATATTGAGGAAATACTTACTTTTTCATGGTCTTTCGAGGGTTTGGATTAAGAATCTGTCTTCAATATTGGCTTTTGATCTTGAACAAAATCTCTAAAGAACTCTGCCTTACCTTTATAGATGCTACTAATTATTTCAGTTCCTGGTAAACCTGAGACTTTTTTTAATGGGAAAAAAAAGAAACCAAAACATCTTTCTGTAATTTTCTGGGAAAAATACAATTGATTTGTACAGACATGGTCAAACTTACTTCTATGGTTATATTTCCTTATTATCCTTCTATTTTTTCCCTCCAGAGGTTTATTGGTCCTTTATTGGCCTTTTTGATCATATGCTTTGGATAACAAAGTTTCTGCACCTTATCAAAAGGGAGGAGGGGTATGCATATTCATCACCCTATGGTTGTGAAGTTTTTCAAGATAGAAGTTTTGTTTGCAAAACCTGCTTGCATATTTTTGCAATGGCACAGGTACAGTGCTAAGCAGAATAGGAGGCATGAAAATGAAAGCAGAAAGAAGGACAGAATAGAAAGTGAACAGGGAAGTGTTTAGATAAGAGTAGAGCAAAGATGAAATGAATGAGAGGAGAGCATGAAAAGAAAGAAAATTCTAAGTCTGTGCAAAATTGTCTTTAGCACCAATCCTTTCTTCATATTAGGTGCTCAGAGAGGAGGGCAAGCACACAATCCCTTAAGAGTAGCAATCCTGGCTGATGGGGGCCGTTATGTTGGTGCGTAAATGGGGTTGCATCAAGTTCTCCTCTGCAAGCTTAATAGCAATTATAGCATAATTTACCATTATATGGCCTCTTCTACTTTTAAGAGCTTTTGAAATCTTCCCAAGCTGTATACCCTGGCTGTCCTTCTGAAATCCTGCAATGTCTTGTCTTTGGAAAGAGATTGAACTGACACAAGGAATATATGAGATAACATCAGATATCCGGGTGAAAAATGGTGTGGAAGTTATAGTCCTGTAGTCCCAAGACAAGTGAAGTCTACTTAGTAAAACAGAACAAAAAAGGATTTGGATATTCATCTGAAATCCCCATAAAAAATATCTATTAATAAGTATCAGACATGTTACTTTGGTGCAGAGCAGTATGTAGGGCTCTGTCAGCTGTTCTTCCTATTGAAGCATGTGACAAAATCCATAATAAACTGTACAGCTAAAATTTGGCATCTAAAAATATTTAATCTGTGGTTTTGTATTATATATTCTAAATGTCTTAAAAATATTAAGGCAGTGTCAGAAGAATGTGAAAATAAGACTGAATTTTATTGCTTTTTGTCAGTTTAAATGACAAAGATAACACATTTTATTACAGAAAAAGTAAAACCTCAAATGAAGGTAGGCATTGATGTATACACAGTCCTTGTACCAGAAAATTGTATGTTTTTCTGTTCTGTGGTTTTTGTTGGTTTGTTTGGGTTTTTTTTTTTTGCCTTTAGTGGAAATGCCCTTCATTTTCTAGTTTTATAAATCACTTCATATTTCACTGCAAAAGTTGTAGTCTTTCACTCAAGATACAAAGAAAACTAAAGTAATGTCTATTGGACATTGTCCATACTGGAGAGTCCTTAATACTGCCTTCAAGGTCCCTCTCCAATGATCATATTCTATTTGATCATCTAGTTGGTATGTGTTACCTGAATCTCCATTTATTCCTCTCCTGCATTTCCAGCCTTTTAAGTCTCAAAGGAAGCCATAGCTTTCAAAAACATATGCATTGGGAAAAGAATCCTTGTGGTGTGAAAGTACCATTCCCTCACTCTTTTAGCTGAATTTAAGGCTTTCTTTGTCTGATCTCAGCCTTTAAAAAGTTATATAAACTTCATCTGAAGTATTACTCAAGCTAAAAAGCTGAGGACTAGTTACCAATCATTGGAAATTGTTTCTGGACTTCAGACATCAAAACTGATAGTTACCTTAATGCCTCCGCAGAAGTGCTGTCAGTCGATGTTGTGCAAAGGACTTTATGTCCAATTTAGCATGGATCAGCCGCAATAATTTAACTTGAACAAACAAGCTGATTTGCCTACTTTGACCTCCGAATCTAAGGAAATTTCTACCGTGTTTATGTTCCTGTAGAACTTCTCAGCGATCTTTCATTGTGTGAAACTGCTACATGTCGGCTTTTCAATCAGTTCTTATTTTTGTCCCTTAATCTAGTTTTTGCCTTTTCATGTTAGTGACTTTACATAAACATCTAAATTGGTTATTTTCTGTTCTGATTTGATTATATTGCAGGTAATAGGTAAATAACTGCAGTGTGTACGTACAATGGGTGGTGATGGCCGAATCGTATTCCTGGTGCTCAGTGTAATATTTTTATTACTCTCGTAGTGTTTACACTGTCAGTTTTTATTAAGACAAATTATCATCATTTCCATACAGCTGGATGGCATGTGGGGAGTTCACGGTATCAAAGAACTACCCAGACTAACTCAGGCAATTTAGATGTCAATAAAACATTAGCTGCTTATTTCTAGTTTTATCATTGGTCGTAATTTATACTGAGAACTGAAATGTTAACACATGTAGCTGAGTTTATTTTAATTGTATAATTAGAGTAATGAACCTTGTGGAAATACAGTGGTGCAAATGCTAATATAATCTAAGCTGTTTACATTCCCAATTAGGTATTTAAAACAAATACAAAGATAGAGCTCTGTGCTTTGATACTGTTTCCCTTCTGTCCCCATGTCAGCTAACGTTAGTCTAAAACACTGCAGGTACCAAATTTCCATTTATAATTATTGTTTCAACAGGGTTGTAGACTTGCAGAGTGTTTGACAGAGGTTCACACAATATTTAATCTCATCCTTGAAGAAGTTATAGTTTAAAATGTTTATAATGGAAGAATTTATGTTAGAAAACATGTTGACTTACTTTAACTGGACAAGATTAAGCAAATTCAAATGCACCCATATATTTCTATGCTGTATGGTTGTGTTTAAACAAATGTATAGACTGGCTTTTGTATCTTATACTAGATTAGTTTACAGGCTTTAAATGTATGTTTTCCTAATGTAGGAAATGTAATATTGAAACTGTAGTAGAGCTACATCTCCACTTATCAGGATAAATGGTGGTGGCATACGGCAAGGAAGAAAAAATCCAATTAGTTTTTAGGTTATTGCATATTTGTAATATCAGATCTACTCTGTTTATCTTCAGTTACTGCAGCAACAAACATGAATTCCCATAATGCCTTTTTTCAGAGTCATTCTTACATGTAAACATAATATGCTGAAGAAATACTGTAGGAAATTGATAGGCTTTTGTTACTAAAATTTTCAGGAACATACATTTTGTGCAAGTTCTGGGAGAGTTTACTCTGCTATGCAGAACTGCATTCAGGAAATTGTTTCTGGAACTGTGTCTAAAGGAGTCTTTTGCCCCATGTGTTTATATAAAAAAATTAAATAAATTAAAAGGCACTGTGAGGATCCTGGTTTCAAATTTGTCTCAGTGTTCATCCAGCCTTGAATCTGTTCTCAGTGACTTTAGCTTTACATGCCTTGGTTAACCTAGCTCTGACATTTGTTAAAAAGCGAAATCTTCATGAGCACTGTATGTTGTGTCTGGGATGAGTAATCTTGCATTAGTAGAATTTGTAGCCTTTGTTTAATGAGATTATTTGCAATGTTGACTGGTGGTTTATTTCTGTGTTACATTATTTTACTGTTGGTTAGGATTAGTAATATTTTCACTAGATTTGAGAGCTTAGATGTAGTAAATTTTAAGAAATTACAAACCATGCATAAAGATGCATCTTGCATTAATAATTTATTATAATATCAGAATGCAAAACAGTAGAAAGCCACATTTCAAGAAAAATGCTGTGCAAAACCTTTGATAGACTAATTACTTTGTAATCATAAGTGCATGGAGACGTTGGGATGAAATAATAATTCTTTTTTATACTGTATTATTATAGTATTAACTTGGAGCATTGTACTTTGTGTAGAATATGTTTTGATATTTAGCATGTTGATATTTTGATATTTTTTCTGTTTAACCATATAAACAAAATCCCTGTTGCAGTTACTGTGTATGCTCTCGGGTAAGCATTGCATGCACATCCAAATTCTGAATTGTCTTTGGGCATTACAGAGGAGCACATGTGCATCAAAGTGCTGTTGGGCATGAAGTGAAAGGAAAGGAAGAGTAGACATAATTCTTCCCCCTGCCACCCCTGCCCCCCCCGTCAAATATTTTGGTGGTTTTCTCTAAATGTAGCATTCCCAATTTTATATTTGCTTGCTTATCTCTTCCCCATTTAGAGATGTCCTCTTTAGTAACTTTGCTTTGGAGCTCAAAGACATTGTATCCCCAGAGACATTCAACAGCTCAGAAGTGAAAAAGTCAGAAACTTGTTTTGTGACTATCAGTTTTATAGGTATCAAAAATATAATTCTGATAAAAATAATGTAGTGAAGGCATACAAGTATTTTTCCTTTTAAATATTAACATTCATTACTTATTTTAGTGCTTCCTGCAACTAACACCATCTGTAAAATTTTATTTTTTATAATTATTTATAAGGTTTAAAAATCTGAGAGACTGTTCAAAGCTTATTTTAGTGAACAGAAGGAAAAAGGGATTTAATCAGTATTTTTAAACTTTGTTTTGTTTTACTTCCTGTGACCACATACCTTCATAATTATCAGCAAATTTTAGTACAATAAATGGAGCACAGCATTGTCATTAAGTTAGTGTGTGACTTGTGCACATTTAGCATTTTTTGTCGTGCAGACTGTTAGAGGATTGTGGGAAACGCAAAGAAAACCACTTAGAATATCTAGATAATACAAGCTGTTTCAGAAAAAACAAACAAACATAGAAGTATAGTTCTTTCTTTGGGAAATTTGGGAAAATCGCTTTTGCTTTTTTTATTTTCCTTTTTAATGGGAGATGCTGGGTTGTGGGAAGGAATCTGGAACTTTGCATACTCAAAGAGTAGAATCATAGAATCATAATATCATCAGCTTGGGATGGGGAGGGATAGGACTAGATGTGCACTAGTATTGGTTGTGTTTTTCAAGATTGGTTTTTTCCCCCTGAAATGCATGCATTCTAGAGAAAAGGTACTTCAGCTTTATGGAATCTTTCTGGTCCTTGTGCTCACCGGTGCTATTGCAGAAAGACAGATTGCTGATTGCAGCAGCTGAGCTAAAGTCAAGGCCAATCACAGTTAGCACAGTGACTATACCCAAGTGGTCCATTGGGAACCAGATGAGGGTGGAGAAGGTTTGCCTCTGATGGACCCCTGGACAGATCAAAGGTGCATTACATTAGGTGTTTGCAAAATACTCTATCAGTTGGAAACAGAACAATACCACTTAAATATTACTGTCTGACTCAAACTTCATTTGATGGTTTTTGTTGTCAAAATGCTTTATGTTGTTTTTCTCCTCACAGTCTGTTTACGTGTATAGATCCTTTCAACATCAAATCTTAATGTCTCTAGGTGGTTCCAAAATGGAAATACTACTAGGACCGTATCTTTTACTCCTTCATCTGCCTTGTACAAGAAAACATATGACTGTTCTGTGAAATAAATGTCTTATTTGCATATGTTGATGATAAATTGGTAAATGAAGAATTGAAAGTGGAAGAAAAGTTAATTTTGCTTTTCTGACCCATTTGATGAAGTGCTCAAGTGCATATATAACTTTTGAGCTCGAGGAGTCCTTTTAAGCATCATTGACTGCTTATTTACTTTGAGGTATGTGTGAACTGAAGTGCTATGATCACTGAAAGTTTTGTGCTAGAAGACATACGTGGTCTTGCAATTCCTGCCATGCAACCAAGTGTTTTTCACGCCATGCCTTGAAATGACTTCAGAAAAAGTAATGCTGTGAATTTGACCCACTGATACATCCTGTGGGATTTCAGTGTAAAGCTGATGTTCTTTTAAAAAAATCAAGTGCAGTGACGATGCAAGAATAATCCTGAAGATTGAATCCTTCTTCAAACCTAGAGTTCAGGTATAGAAACATCATTGACTTATCGCACTATCATACCAGTACCTCAGAAATCTGCTCTTCAGGATCCATTTCATAATTTCAGGTTGAATATTTGTTTACCTTTTCTCTCTAAGAATGTCCGTAAGATGACACCATGGGTAAGCACTAGACAGAGGTGACAACTTGTTGCACAGAGGCTATCAAATGGTAATTGTCTTCAGTCATTACCGAACCATTAAATTTAAGATAATATGCTGAATTAAAAATAGCATTTAAGTTTTTAATTTCCTATTTGCAGTTTAGTAAAAAAAGTTAAGGTTTAGAAATAAAGCATTTGGTTCGCGTGAAGTTCCTGAATCTTCTATCCATCCCTTCATTACAGGCTGCTTTTTTACATGAGATGACCCCACATTTCAGTTTCACAGAAGCAGTAGTGATGGCTGTGGTATCCTCTGCTAATTCAGAAATTCAGATTTTGAGGTGAACCTCTTCAACTTCAGTTAACTAGCAGAAGAGATGCCAGCTCTCAGATGTGCGGTGCTTCTTGGAGCTTTTACTGCTCAGAAATCTAGGTCTTGTGCAAGAATGGATGTGCTGTCATCACACTGCTGATTCGTTCTTACTTTTAAATGATGGGCTTGATTCACCTAGGCTTTTTGTTTCATGGATAAGGGAATAATTAAAATAATAATTTGAAACTGTGGTATCCTACTTCAAGGTAAACATGGTTTAATATTTAGTTTCTGTAGTGATTGTGATAAAATATTAATCAGTAGGATTTTCAATGCTGCAAATTATTCGAACAGTAATAATTTGTAATCTTAATGTTCCAGAACCCTGGGGCTGCTGGTAAAGCGATTGGAGAAGGGTGGAAAAGCTGAACAAGAAAACCTTTTTCGTGAGAATGATTGTATTGTCCGGATTAATGATGGAGACCTTCGGAATAGGAGATTTGAACAGTAAGTGTACTTACCGCACCTTACATTGCGTTATTAATTGTTAATATTGCACCTCACAGTAATTTGAGGAAAATAAGAAAAAATTGTCTAAGCTTGCCTTTCTAATAAAGAAAAGGTACACGAACGGACATTAGTGTTTTTTAATTAGCCAAACTACAAAAAAATCAAAGTAATTATTGTCAGACTAGATGCCCACCACATTGTTTTTGCACGTTACGGGTTTTTTCTTCTTGCATTGGTAAGCTGTTTATCCTGAAATTCCTGAAAATCCTGAAAATATGACTTTTGCTTTTATAGTTGCAATGCTTATGTTCAATGTAAGTGGACAGCATGGAGACTTTATTTTTAACATTTTAAAATTATTTGTGGTTTTGTATGTGTGAGAACTAAAGGTACTATATGCAGAAGCTTCCTGGAGAGGTTTGAGAGATCATAAATATTTGCTCAGTGGATGCCTGGGCTTGGTAGAATCCCAAAATGGTGAATCAGAATGACTTTTAAAAGGTTGTAGTTCACACTCAGATAATTGAACGAGAAAGCAGAAAAGAGATATGCAGAAAATGAGTGATTTCAAAGATGATAATACTGTTCTGAAAACCCTGACATGTGAGGGCCAAAGGAATGTAATGTATTCTGATCATCCTGTACTTAATATACATTTGAAATGTATTACTTGGACTCTAACCTGGATTGGAACACAACCCTATACGGTATGGTTGAAAGCAGCTTGTCTTTATTTGTTCTGTGGTTCGGAATCACAATTTAAATCAAGTCTGTGAAGAGACTCGTTGACTTTGTATACTTTGGATTGTGACCTAGAGCCCAACGTCTGTCTGTGCAGGATTAAGCATTTTTTTCCTATTTCTTTAATGTTGTATTCTGGAAGACTACTAACTTATAAAATTAAAGTGTAAACTGGACTTTTTGCACTACTGCATGTACTCACAGCAAATTATGGAAATACATAGTCTTTATATAAAGTCTGATTTTCATTCTAGTAATTTGTTGTCACTGTGGTTACTGTTATCACAATTATCGCAATTATCAAGGTTCAAAACAAAAGGACATTGCAGTCCTACCATAGACCTGTCTGCATTTCAGTACTGTGGTTAAAATTTTTGCTTTTCCAAATCCAGTATTTGGTGCGGTAGTTGTTGAGCGTATTTAACCATTGTGTTGCCCTAAGGCAATAAACCTTAGCAAAAAACAGACCAAGTAGACTAGTGAACAGATTCAAGTTTTATGGTTTATGCTTGAGTGCAATGTGTCTGTCAGCTCGTGTTGCTTAATTAACATTAGTAATTATGCTTATAACGTCTTGCAGTCTGCCAGTCCTAATTTGCTAATTTTCTGTTCATTTTGAAACCTAGAGCACAGCATATGTTTCGCCAAGCCATGCGTACGCCGTTCATTTGGTTCCATGTAGTCCCTGCGGCAAATAAAGAGCAGTATGAACAGTTGTCCCAAAGCGAGAAGAACACTTACTACTCCAGCCGGTTCAGCCCCGATTCCCAGTATGCTGACAGCAAAAGTTTTAGCAATTCTGGACTTCACACGCTACAAAGAATGTCTCGAGCGGGTAACCAGTCCGATCAGACAGACTCCTACTCGCAGCTACCTCATAGTGTGAATTCGTCAGGAAAACCACCTTCGGGCCTGGTACCGTCACCTCAGAAAGTTCTCGCCTCCACTACAAACAGTGGGTATAACACCAAAAAGATAGGGAAGAGGCTCAGTATACAGCTGAGAAAAGGTAAGGCACTAGTGCGCTCCTCGTATAGCATGAGCTGTGTGCCTGTAGTGTATGTACATCTGTCCTGTGATATTGTGTTGGGCAGGACAGCTTGGGGATGTGATGTGTTGATTTTTGAAGCCGAGGGGCTGAGTTATCCCTGATAGCATGCCCAGGAGTCCAGCCGTGCATTTGGTGTATGCAGCGTGTTTGCAAAAGGCTATTTTGAAGAGTGCTTTAACCTTGTTTTCTGTCTCTCAACTAATAGAGAAGCGCAGTAACTGCTAAAGATTCTGTTGGTCAAGACCCAGGGAGTGGTGGACTGTTTAATATAAATAAGCTAAAATGGCCCATATTCAGTACTTTACAGTTATCATGGTTTTTCAAATTCAGTAGTGTTAGATTTGAAGAGTATGTTTGATCCAGTTGGTAAATCAGACTTTGTAATTTCCAGCTAAAGTTTTTCTTTTCCACTGGGATGTTAAAGTCTTGTTTAAATGATTGAGATGTAATGTGATATTTCCTATCTTGACCCTTATGCTAATGTAATAGAGAGACTGTTTAAGGGCAGAGGAGAAAGCGGTGCATGTTTAGCTCATCATCTGTGTTACATGTGCACATGTAGATGCATTGGTATATCCGTGGATTTTTTTATCATGTGTTAAATGTGCTAAGTGAGAAAATTTGGTATTTTTGTGTAGTTACCATCTAGATGCTTTTAAGATAGTTTGAGGTATGATAACATGACATTTAGATGCAAGTATTTCTTAGCTCTTGAGAAATGATTTTTTAAAAGAGTTACACATGCTATAAGCTTTATACTATTAAAATGAGCATGATTAAGGTTAGATGTAAGAGGGGCTTCTTGAAGTACATCAGTAGCAAAAGGAAGTCTAGGGAAAACGTGGGCCTGCTGCTGAATGAGATGGGTGCCCTGGTGACGGAGAAGGTGGAGTTACTAAATGCCTTCTTTGCCTCAGTCTTTACTTCTAAGGCTGACCCTTAGGAATCCCAGACCCTGGGGGTAAGACATAAGGTCTGGAGAGAGGAAGACTTTTCCTTGATTGAGGAGGATCAGGTTAGAGATCATTTAGGCAAACTGGATACCCACAAATCCATGGGCCCTCATGGGATGCACCCACGAGTGCTGAGGGAGCTGGCAGATGTTACTGCTTTGCTAAGCCACTCTCCATCATCTTTGAAAGGTCATGGAGGACAAGAGAGGTGTCTGAGGACTGGAGGAAAGCCGTTGTCACTCCAGTCTTCAAAAGGGGCAAGAAGGAGGGCCCAGGAAACTACAGGCCATTCAGCCTTGCCTCCATCCCTGGAAAGGTGGTGGAGCAGCTCATAGTGGATGTCATCTCTAAGCATGTGGAGGAAAAGAAGGTTATCAAGGGTGATCAACATGGATTCACCAAGGGGAAACATGCTTGACCAATCGATCTGATAGCCTTCTGTGGTGGCATGACTGGCTGGGTAGGTGAGGGTAGAGCAACGGATGTTGTATACCTCGACTTCAGCAAGGCTTTTGACACTATCTCCTGTCACATCCTCATAGGTGAGCTTAGGAAGTAGGAGTTAGATGAGTGGACAGTGAGGTGGATTGAGAACTGAGGTGAATTGAGAACTGGCTGAATGGTAGAGCTCAGAGGGTTTGATCAGCAGCTCAGAGTCTAGTTGGAGGCCTGTGGCTGGCGTGTTCCCCAGGGGTCGGTACTGGGTCCAGT